CTCTCGCTTTTCTGTCTCCACAGCACTCATTACCACTGAGCACAGTGCATGTGTTATTTATTGTTTACGGACTCTACCCCATATTATGGAAATGCCATGAGTGCAGGGATTTCTATCTAGTTTGTCTTTGATGTATCTCAAGAGCCTAGATGAACTGGGACTCACCTAATATTTGTTGATAAAATGACAATGACTGATTAGAAAAATATGGTAGGTTAAGATACACTGGTTTCAACAACGCATTTGACACAATTTCACACTATTCTCATAGGTGATATTTCCACACTTGGCATTTCCTAGATGATAATTATTGTAAAGGGGGCACAGGAAAACAACTTGGAAAAAACACTCAAATTTGAGGCTTCGAAACACAGAGAAATAAATAATATGTTAGACAACAGAAATAAGACTGAGACTCATCTCAACAGGTTGAGATGGATCAAAACAAGATGGAATGAAGGTGAAATAAATGTACAGTCCTGCAGTTAAAATTCTAAAACAAAATCTGCTGACAAAGAAACTTTTTGATCTCCTCTGACTTCACTGATTTCTCCTTCTTCCTCTCCTCTGCTGACTTTTCCACATCTTCTCCATCACTCAACAAGTGGAGTGTCCAGTTTAGTGCTTCGGTCTTGACTCTCTTCTCCACAGATAAGCTCTCGAAGAAGTGTCACCTATTCCCACAGCCTTAAACATCATTTATACACCACAAACTCCCAAATGCATATCTCTACCTAGGAACTTTTCTTTTAATTTGACCATATATGCACTTGCTTTCTAAAAATCTCCAATTCCGTATCTGATTCCTTACACTTACTAATGTCCCAGTCTCAATCAACCCCATTCCTCCTACAGTCTTCTCCACAACAGTAAAGAGAAATTTTATTCTTTCAAGTGCTCAGACCAAAAAAGTTGGGAGTCGTTACTGAGTCCTCTCTTCTCACTCACCATATACAACTACAAGCCAACAATAAAACAGTAAGTTCCCCAACTGACTGAAAGACCCTCTTCTCAGCCAAGGGCATTCCAAAATAGACCCGAAAATCTAGTTCGGGCAGTGATTGGGGGGCAGGGGGTTGGACATGCCTCATTATAACCTCCTCCCTTTGACATTCAGGCACAGCTGACCAGCATTGACACTAAAACAGGTTTTAAGACTGATGCAACAGACTTTTTGTGGCTGTAAGACATCAAACTCCAGCCTGACTCTAGTACAGCAGCATCACATGACAGCAGGTCCTGAAAGAAACTGAAGTATTTTAACCCAAATATATTTCTTTGACATATTTTGAAATGGCCCTGCAAAGCTGTCTCCTGTGGGGAAAATCTACATTCCGTAGAGAAACCCCTTCCCTTTCCAGGTCTTTTCTCTGAACCAGGAGAGACTAAGAGTCTGGTAGCTTTTTAGCTCCGATAAGAGCTCTGAAACCTGCTACTTGGAGGCTTCATTTGCATGATAAATGCTTGGTCTCTAAAACCCTTACCTTAAGCCAGACATCCCTTTCCATTGATTCCAGGTCTTTGATAATAACTCTTTCAACCATTCAACCAATTGCCCATCAGAAAATTGTTGAATCCGACTGTGACCTGGACGCTACCTGGCCCCCATGCTTCCAGCTGTCCCACCTTTCCAGACCAAACCAAGGGATATGTACTGAATGATATCTTACGTCTCCCTAAAATGTGTAAAACCAAGCTGTAGCCCAACTATTGTGGACACATCTCAGAAGCTCCTGAGGTTATGTCATAGGCATGTCCTTAACCTTGTCAAAATCAGCTTCTAAGTTGACTGTGACAGGTCTCCGATACTTTTTGGTTTACGCTCCCATAAGCAAAATCTGTCTGCTCTTTCTTCTTCTACACCCAACCTCTGATCCTAGTTCACCATTACAACCCTAATCCTAGACATCATCCTCCCCTGCCTACACTCCTAGACTACCACTGGGTCTACCGGTTTCCACTCTTACTGTGTATACTCTCGATTCGGCAGCTAGAAGAAGGCCTAAATACCCCCAATTCCATTCCAACCTCATTTCTCACTGGTCTCCGCGTGACTCACTCTGCTCATCACAATGGCCTACCTCAGGGCCTCTGCAGTTGCTGTCTCCTCCTTCTGCTGATTCTCTCATTCCCTTTGGATTCCTCTCAAATTCACTTAGGAAATTAACCTCTCTTGACCACTGCATATGTGCAACAAGCCAATAAGCATCCTCTGAACCCACCATCACTCTCAAGCCCCTTATTCTGCTTTATTCTTCCATGTATTTATCACAGTATTTATCACTGCCTGATAGATGTGCCCACACACAAACAATATACACATCATACGAATTTTCTGAACTGTTTCCACAACTCCCCTCTATACTATGAGAACCTGAATCCTGTCAATTTTGCTCACCGTTGTATCCACAGCACCTTAGAACAATGCCTGAAACAAACGCTCAAAAATAATGGTCATTGAATGATAGGTTAGAAAATAGGGAGACAAAGAGAGGAAAGAAAAACAGAAAAAAGGGAAGGGGAAGAGACATAAGACCTACAGGTCTGACTTCACGAAAAAATGATGACAGTTTACTCAAAGTTCAATAACAAGAAATGCAATGTAGTTTCTTAAAAAATCTAACCCTCCATTAAAACCGTATTGACAGATACATAGGTTTCAAACTAAGACAGGTATCTGTCCCACCTCCTTTTACCAGGCTCAAGACAAAATTAGTCTGTAGTGTTAAGGTTGCAATGTTTTAAAGATATATTAACAATGTATAGTTTGTCCAAAGAATGTCAAACCTACATCTTAAGGAGGCATGTGGAAAATAAAGTTTAGAAACTAAGATCTTTTACTAGAAAAGAAATACCATAATCCCTATACTCAAAGAGTTTGCATATGAAATAGAAGTCAAAACAAATACTGGAAAATGGCCATTTTGGGAGGCTGCTTGGTTCTAAACGAGAAAGTACTTCATAATAATTAGAACTGCCTAGGCTGGGCTCAGTGGCTCAAACCTGTAATCCCAGCACTTTGGGAGGCTGAGGAGGGAAGATCACTTGAGCCTAGGAGTTCGACACTAGCTTGGGCAACATGGAGAAACCCCATCTCTATTAAAAAAAAAATTAGCCGGGCATGGTGGCACAGGCCTATAGTTCCAGCTATTTAGAAGGCTGAGGTGGGAGGATTATCTGAACTCAGGCAGTCAAGGCTGAAGTGAGCTGAGACTGTCCCACTGCATTTCAGCCTTGGTGATGAAGTGAGGCTTTGCCTCAATTAAAAAAAAAAAAAAAGTATATGAGAAAGAGAAAGGGGAAAGAAAAAAGAAAACAAAAACACAACAGAACTGCCGGAGAGTGTAACCATCACCTTCAGTGGAACTAAAGAGCATGCTTTCTGTCAGGGATGCGTTAGAACAGAAGCCCTGTGGCCAGTCACCATCTACCGAAAGGATGCCCGAGGAATTTCTAAATCTGAATCTTTACTGAAAATAGTGGCATACTATTTCATAAAGGAAACTCTGAGTATTAGTCAAATAAGCATTGATCAAGATACGGGATACCTGTTTTCAAAAAAACGTTATAGAGATCTTGGCAACTGATATCATTTCTAGGTTATCAGCTCACACCTTTAGTATTTCTCAATTACAGATGCACTTTTCTCCAAATTTGGCACAATGTCAGAGAATCTTATAAATAATAGCAAAGAAAAATCACTACATATAGTTTCATCATTTTTTCCAATGGCCTTATAAGACAGTATGTAGTATTGTCAATGACACTGTCTGAACACATGGCAGCTGTGCCAATATCAACCCTCTAATATTTTATGACTCTGCCAAAGTTCACTTTTCAGAGTCCCCATCTTACCCTCAAGCATCACTTTTTAGCATTTTCTGCTACTCCTAGCAGCTGCCAAAATTCTAGGTCCACCCTCTATCACTTCCTGGTAGCTTTTGAGCATCCAGACCAAGGAACTCTTCAGTTGTGAGTTCCACAAATGTGAAATTAATAACAAAGGCACCCAGTGAAACCCTGAGACTCACAGAAACCTCAAGAGTCTCCTACATTGCTATGGACAGAAGGAATTCTGCCCTCACCTATCTCCAAACCCCCAGCCCCCAGCACTGGCCCAGGTCATTTTAGAGCTTTCTTTCTTCAGATGATCAAATATAAACGAATATATCTGCATATGTGATTCTATTAACAGTTTTTCAGTTTATATATTACAATAAAAACTGATCTCTAAGGTTGCATTCAGTTCCATTCAAACTGATTATTTGCAATATTTCATCTACACTTAAGATCTTTGTGTAATCCAGGAAAAACTAAGACATATTTTTCCAAATGTAATCACTTATAATTTTATAGCATAAACAGTATGCTAAATGCTTTCAGTACTCACCTGCCATAGTTTTTAAGCTTGCTAACGCTCTTAAAGTTAACTAGGCCATGAAAACAGTCCCTTTAATATTTATAACATTTCTAAGCAATGTTATGTTTTCAACACATGAGTTGCCATCTTTTGTTCTCCCAAAAAGAAAGTGCATGTACTCAAAGGCAGAGGCTGGGCGGGTAGCAGACATGAGTAAAGCCGGCTACATGGAGGACTGAGGCTGACTCGAGAGCATCATGCATCTGAAGGCAGCTTCCGCTTCCCACCCTGGGGAGACTGCTGCCCTGGGAGAGTGACCTTACCTTCGGGTTCAAGAGAAGACAGAAATCCAACCTTTACTACAGTGTCTCAATTTCTAAATGTTGGCAACTGATTCAGAAAATCCCACAGGCACGTGCAGCCAAACAAAATGCATCTGTGTGCCGTATTCAGAATTGAGGCCTCCAATTTGCACCCTCTCTACCGACTTTATTCCATATTAACGAGTGATACTTTGGAGAGGGAACTCAGTTTTTGCCATTATCTTTCTAACACTTTAATGTGTTAGGGTACTGAAAAATAAACAAAACAGATTCGTTTCCTATATTGTAGTAGTAAAAATAATATTCACATTACTTACCCTGCTGACTTCCTTAGGAGCCGATTCATCTGGGGATAGAGAAGGAAGAGGGAAAAACACAATTAGAGACTGAGTAGGTTTTAAAATACAGAATATGTCATTTGCTTTCAATAAACTTGAATGGTTTTTTGCAATGCTTCCTCTTATGAAATCTACAAATCTGATTTTTAAAACTGTAAAGGTTGAACATAACAAATTATGACTTAAGAAGTATACATTAATTTCACAGGGAAACTGAAATACCACCACCGCGTTACCTTTCTAGAGGTTCTAAAATGGATATGATATGCCTGTAAGAATAGCTACACTGTGGTATATCCCACTACACATACCTAAAATGGGGTTGATAACACTTCAGTATTCTATACAATACAACCCACACGAATATCCCAAATGACCTTTCACACTCGTGCTTCGAAGGTTACAGCAGACCTGGAGCTGGTGTGAGCTGTTCTGTTGAAATAAGAAACGGACCTGCATGGAACTCTGGTCAAGGCGTGAAACATACCCACTAATAATAGTGCTGCTTTGTTCCATGTGTCTGAGGAGTTGGGGGGTTGTTTATATCAGCTTGTCAGCATTGCTGATTGGTAGAGTGAGACTGGGGTGGTTTGCACAGGGTCTAGGTGAGAATCCCTGGATGACTCTCCCACTGGGGCTGGCTACAGGCAAGAAAATGCCTGTGTGACCAACAGGGTGTAGAACAGGCTGGCAGACACCCACTCTCGGTCCATGGTTCTGAGTGTTGCACACACAGGTCATTGATTCTGACCTGCGAGAAAGTGTGTGTCCCTAAGAGGAGGGGCTACTAGAGCTCAGTCTGGCATTGACAGGCTCCTTGCTGTCTTTTTCCTGTAATAAACTTGACATCTGCAAGGACTGTCATTTTGGTTCCTGTGTCTTCTTGAGCAATCAAATCCTGTTGTCTGTCACCATCAGAACGAACTTAACGTACCAAAAATGGAATGTAGCTCCATGCTTTAGGACAGTAGGTATTCAGATAGACAGTACCTAGTTTTTGTATTACTGTATTAATACACAATTGCTCATATATTTTCTTATCATTGTTGTATAATGGTTAGAGTACGGCCTCTGACTTCCCTAAGAATGTAACACATGTAACGTTGTCATAGGAAAAATGTCTTATCTTCCACATTGAAGTGGCACCATAGAAATATTTCATTTACTCTTCGACTCCTAATCCTCTCTGAAGCTGAGACTATTTATCATTACAACAAATTTATTAACAGATTCTAAAGTTAGAGACATATGTGCTTTTAATTTTTTCAAAGTTTTGATCTAAAACATTTAATGAGAATGTTTGAAAAAGTCAAACAATTAAAAGGTATATAATGAAAAGGAGCAACGTGTGAACAGGTTTAATACCAAGACTGCATGCAGTCACCTAGCTATGACATTATGGAATTTTCTACCCTCTGCTAGTCACCACTACAGATCTGAAAATTAGTTCAAGGACCGTGTGAATGTCCAGACATCTGTAAATAAATGTTCCTTTGGCTTTTTCTCTTAGTCTTGCTTAGTTAGTACTTCTCAAACTTGAGCGTGCATAAGATAGCCTATGACATGTGTTTACAAAATCAACAATTTTTTGCTTTATGGGCAATTTAAAGTATTTGAAAGAAAAAAGTTTACCTATAGCCGATTTTTGGCTTTTCACCTTAGGAGCTGATTTAGAAAATCATTTTCTCCAACTTAACACTCAATTGTAGTTAAAGAAATGTTAAGTCTAGTATATTTAAAAACTATAGTATTTTACTTAACTGAGAAAATTAATGAACACAGTGCGATTTCTTGTGTAAGGGAACATTGCTTCCTATTTCTTATAGTTGGAATTTTCATTTAGTTGAATTCTCTTGCCCAAGAAAAATTTAAGCATGTTGAAGACAGAAACTTTACTTTCTCTTCTACAGTAGAGTTGCACTGTGGGAACACATATGATGGACAGTGGCTTAGAGCAGGGGTTCGGAACCGGGCCACACAGCAGGAGGTGCGCGGTGGCAAGTGAGCGAAGCTTCGTCCATATTGACAACCGCTCTCCATTGCTGGCATTACTGCCTGAGCTCCGCCTCCTGTCAGGTCAGCAGTGGCATTCGATTCTCATGGAGCGCAAACCCTACTGCGAACTGCACTTGCTAAGGATCTAGGCTGTGTGCTCCTTATGAGAATCCAATGCCTGATGATCTGAGGTGGAGCTGAGGTGGTGATGCTAGCGCTGGGGAGTGGCTGCAAATACAGATTAACATTAGCAGAGAGGTTTGACTACACAGAGATCACAGGAAATTAACTGCTGGCAGACTCATATCAAAACTCTCTCAGTGAGAGGCAAGTGACAAGCTGCATCTGGTTGGTGGCAGGCTTTACAGTGGCAAGTGAGCTGATGTGCTTCAAATTGCACAGCTGCATCTGGTGGCAGCTTTAACCTAGAATCTGACACTTATTCAGTCGACGTGTGACCTGCCTATTATTTTATTCACCACTTCCATCTGCACCTCTTTCCCACACTAGGCACTTGTCTCAGCCACAGTTTTGGTAAGCCCACAAGTCAATCCCAGCCGAAATGAGTAAAAGACAGACAACACTGTCGAGCTTCTTTGAAAAGGGGGAAGACCTAATCATGAGAAAACAGAAGACTCTAAGACTGCCAACGAAAAGAAAGCTGTATTTAAAAGAAAATACCAAGTCCTATTTAAATTACGGGTTCACTGCAACAGGTGATGCACATTCTCCAAGTCCACTTTGTATATGCGGTGACCAGCTATCCAAGGAAGCCATGAAACCTTCAAAACTGCATTGCCACATGGAGACCAAGTACCCTGCATTAAAAGACAAGCCTGGCTGGATGCAGTGGCTCACGCCTGTAATCCCAGCACTTTGGGCAGATCACGAGGTCAGATCAATACCATCCTGGTTAACACAGTGAAACCCCGTCTCTACTAGAAATACAAAAAATTAGCTGGGCATGGTGGCACACACCTGTAATCCCAGCTACTTGGGAGGCTGAGGCAGGAGAATCACTTGAACCCGGGAGGCAGAGGTTGCAGTGAGCCGAGATGGCGCCACTGTACTCCAACCTGGACAACAGAGCGAGACTCCGTCTCAAAAATAAATAAATAAATAAAAATAAAAAGACAAGCCTTTGGAGTTTTCAAAAAAAAATTAAAAAACATGGACACCAAGAACACAGGCAATTATTAAAGGCAACCAACTTCATCAAATGCGTCTACACTGAGAGCTTTTTTTTTTTTTGAGACGGAGTTTCACTCTTATTGCCCAGGCTGGAGTGCAATGGTGCAATCTCAGTTCACTGCAACCTCTGCCTCCCAGGTTCAAGCAATTCTCCTGCCTCAGCCTCCTGAGTAGCTGGGACTACAGGTGCCCACCACCATGCCTGACTAATTTTTTGTATTTTTAGTAGACACGGGGTTTCATCATGTTGGCCAGGCTGGTCTCAAACTCCTGACCTCAGATGATCCACCTGCCTTGGCCACCCAAAGTGCAGGGATTACAGGCATGAGCTACCACACCCGGCCAAGAGCATCATTCTTAGTGGCTAACCGCGTTGCTGAAGCTAAAAGACCCTTTATTGTTGGTGAAGAGTTGATCCTGCCTGCTACTAAGGACATCTGCTGGGAACTTTTAGGAGAGGCTACAGTTCAAAAGGTGGCAGGTGTTCCTCTTTCGGCTAGCACCATAACTAGATGAATTAATGAGATAGCAGGGGATACTGAGACACAACTGTAAAAGGGGATTCATGAATCACCGTGGCACACAATCCAGGTTGACGAGTCTACCAATGTTGACAGCAAGGCAACCATGCTTGTTAATGTGTGATATATTTTTCAGGGGGATGTGCATGAGGATATGTTATGTGCACTTTTGTTGCCAGCCAACACCACAGCTGCAGAACTATTCTAGTCTGTGAATGATTACATATCAGAAAAACTAAATTGGTCATTTTGTGTTGGTATACACACGGACAGAGCAGCTGCCATGACTGGACGGCTTTCTGATTTCACTACTCAGGTCAAACAGGTCGCTTCTGTATATAAGTACCACGCACTAACCGACTGTGCCACTGGAGCTCCTTAGGTTGCTTCTGAATGTTAGTCTATGCACTGTGTCATCCATAGGGAAATGCTGGCTAGCTGAAAAATGTCATGTGAACTTAACAATGTTTAGCAGAATGTGATTAAAATTATCAACCACATTAAAGTACATGCCCTTAACTCACATCTGTTCGCACAGCTCTATGAGGAGATGGACGCAGAGCACACACACCCTCTCACACACGGAAGTGAAATGCTTTCTAAAGGTAGATTTCTGGCCAGAGTTTTTGAAACCACTCCAGAGATTTCTTTCAGAAAAAAAGTCACCATTGGCAGCACATTTCAGTGACATAAAATGGGTTGCAAAACTTGCTTAGTTGTGTGACCTATTTAACCTATTCAACGAACTCAATCTGTCACTTCAGGGGAGAACGACAGCTGTGTTCAAGTCGGCAGATAAAGTGGCTGCATTCAAAACCAAACTGGAATTACAGGGGTGACGAGGGAATACTGGGATTTCTGACATGTTTCAAACATTAGCAGAGACTGTGAAAGAGACAGAGCCAGGACCTTCTTTTCCCCGGCTGACACAGGATCACCACCTCAGCTTTCAGGAGAGCTTGAGCAATACTTCCCAACCACAAAAGAACCCGGAACCGGGGAAGGAATGAATCCGCGACACCCACTTGTGAATAAGCCTGGTGAATTGATTGCCTGTGCTAGAAGAGGATCAGCTGCTTGAAATGGCAAATGGCAGTGGCTTTAAAAATATGTTTGAGACAACTTCAAATCTCCATATGTTCTGGATGAAAGTCCTGGTGGAATATCCTGAGGTTGCCACAAAAGCACTGAAAAGCCTGCTTCCATGTCCAACAACCTGTCTTTGTGAAGCAGGGTTTTCTGCAGTGACAGCGACCACAACAAGATTACAGAGTAGCCTGAACATAAGTGACACACTTCAG